TCTGGGTATGCTTATTCTTGGGAGTGTTAACAACTGCCATAGTGGTTTATAGCAAAGGTCTATCTACCTATCCCAGGATCTTGTTCTCAAAAATGATCAAAACCAAGATATGTGGAAGAGTAAAAATGCCTATACAGTATCTCCTAATGCAATTGCAGCATCCAAAGTTTTGCAGCTTAAAAGACTTTGTAAAACTGATGTTGCTTGTTCATTAAATGGTATTCACTAGATCTACCCTCCAAGTACTTGTCCAAGATCCCTTCAACTTCTTTAAATATTTTCTATTTGTAGTACTATTCTGCAATGAGTAAAAGCTGGATTGAATGAATTATTTGACATTGAACTCCGGAGTCTATAGAATATGCTTTAAAGTTCAGTGCTAACGGAAAAAGGAGAAGTTGAATTTCATATGAGTAATGGAAAAATAATAGAAGTGAGCAAGTAGCAAAAGAATCATAACTGCTACTGGCAGCCAATTTATTCATATTTTCTATCTATTTGGGGAATTTCTATTTATTTTAGGAATGATGAAATCTGTGACTGAACACAATTTTTCTACTACTGTGACTTATGAAAGATAATAGCTTGTACTGTTTTTTGAAATACTAATTGTAAAAATGTATGCAGTCTATACACAACTAGATGCAATTGTTCATGGATAGTACAGCATTTCAAGAAGCATTTTTGTCTTTAATCATGAGTTTGTTACTTCATGTGGTAGTTCCTAGGACACACATACAATCTTAACTTACAAACTTACATTGATACATTCATAAAATATTGATAACTTAGTTTAAATTTTATTCATGTTTTCCTTGTTCTACAGTCTGATTTCCATTTTTCTTTCCTTTTTTTTTTTTTTTTTTTTTTTTTTTTTTTTTTTTTTTTTTTTTTTTTNNTTGCAAAGAGATTTCAAACATTGGGTAGAGAAATAATACTTCTAGTTCATGTGACTAAACACTTCAAGTTTATGTTTCATTTTATGTGCATATAGCAGTACTGTTGAAGAACATTATGAGTCACAACCTACACCTGCCACAAACACGATAGTGGAGGCAATGCTTTTCCTATTTAGGAGCTCATGAAAATGGATTAGCATTTGTCAGCTCTCTCGTATGCATGCTAACAGAACATGTATGTTTAACACAGTGTCTTTATCTTAAACTGTGTATTCTGGTTGCCTGTTTTTCTATATCAAAGGTACACAAAATCAACGCTGAAAACGTTAGGATTCTCTAATCCTAACTGTATTGATGCCTGAGCTTTACAATCATTGTTTTTTCCCTCCATTCTTGAAAGTAACCTATTTTTAAAAGAAAACTAGCAAGCGTTAAGGCAAAACTGTTTTTACCAGGCAAAAACACAAGAAATACAAAGAAATGCATGGACAGTGAAAGTAGAAAAGATGGAAAAATGAGGAGATAAGAGTAACTTTCAAAAAACAGAGAATATTTTTTTCATGGGAAATCACTCCTGCCAGAACATGCAGCTTTTTCTTATGGTGCTGTTGGGAGCTTTGGAGATTAGAGTGAGATAGGAGGTGGTTATTGATGGATTTGACAGATCAGCAGGAGACCATTGCTTCTCCTTGCAGCCTATGTGGAAGTGCAGTGAATGCACGGTATCAACAGAGATTGCTAGGGCTGGTCTAGGATCAACAAATGCTTTGTGGACTGATATTCACTGCAGGGCTAGCAGGAAAGAAGGAGGAGGATTAGCACAATCTGTCAGATGATGCATAACATATTATCCTTTCTCATCTAACTTCAGTCACACTTTGGTAACACATCCTGCTGGTTCTTTAAACATGTACTTCTTTCATCACTGTTTAGATCCTCAAGATCCCCCAACAGTCCGCTAAGATTGTGCATGGTTTAAAATTTTACAACATTTTGGATGATGAGCCTGGAAGGCGCCTTAGAAGGATCAGCTCCACCATGTGGTTTCAAGGCTTCAAAGATGAAGGCGAGAGGAAAATGAGTAAAATTGACCTATGGTTTTATAAGGCTTTATGAGTCATGAGTCCTCTCAAGTGTGGGCGATCTGGAAGATGGAAATTTGCATGACACAGAACTATAGAATCATGAATGTTTGGAAAAGACCTCTAAGATCATCTAGTACAACTGTTTACCTACCGCCAATATTGCCCACTAAACCTTGTCTCTAAGTACAACATCTACCCTTTCCTTAAACACCTTCAGGAAAAGTGACTTCTCCACCTCCCCGGGCAGCCCTTTATAATACCTCACCACTCTTTCAGAGAATAAATTCTTCCTAATATCCAACCTGAATGTCCCCTGACATAACTTGAAGTCATTCTTTTTTAGTTTTCTTATGTTGTTACCAAATCATCAAAGCTTAATTTCAGTCATCTTGCATTGTGGATCTTCTGCTACTTGGTTGTGCAATGTGGCTTTAGTTTGAATAAGGAAGAAAGCAGTGGTTCCACAAGGCAGAGTTACCAGCCTACCCAATCAAGTATCTTCTAGCTTGAAGTGGAAGCTGTATGAATTTTTTTTTCTGCACTTCTTCTAGTGTTGGTGATCAGCATGTATTTTGGTGGGGGACTAATTGGCAAAGCTAATTGTTGCCTTATTGTTTTAGTAGTCAATTTCAGTATTTGAAATATTTTTCTGCTCTTTGCTATCAAAGAAAATTAAAAAGTATTAGACAAAAGAGAATCTGTTTTATAAGTAATATTGTTCTTGACAATGAAGTCTCCAGAAATTTTGTGAAACTGGAAAGGTACAGTGACCTGTTTGAGAAAACAGTACAGTGAAGTTATATCTCTACTAGAGCTTTTTATCTGTATCTGCAAATCTGCAGTACATTTCCTGAAAATGTACTGAAGGGGTACTGCTCATACATGGTTACATTTATGAATGTAATTTTGCTTGTACTTTGCAACCTTAAATTTGTGGTGTTCTTGGACTGCAAATAATGGTTTCAAAAGTCTTACAAGAACAAGACCTGTACAAGAACTTTGAAGGAGATGCAAAATACTATAGCATTATTGGTCAGGGGGGAAAAACCTACACAATATTTTTCCATTATGTAATTCTATTGCACTGACATTTTATGTAATATCTCCTAAATTGAAAATCATGTATTGATGGATCTTAAAAGATAATTTGCTAAACAACAACAACAAGAAAGTCTACACAAGAATTTGGGTTTCAGTTCATCCCAACTTGCCCAAAAAGTAGATTGAAGTGGGAAGAAAAAGGAGTTTGATCAATGGAGTAATGTGGTCAGAAGGACTGACTAGAGATATAGGGTAGAAGCACATTCTTTGTAGAAAAGGGCATTTTCAACAGTTAGTAGTGACCACTCTCACCTTTATCGAGACTTCATTGAGATTCAGACCCATATTAATACAATGCAGAAAGCGATGGCATATTATTCACCTGTCACCAGCTGTACTGAGTACTTTTAATACCAACTGGAAAAGCATGAGATATAGTGACAATAGTTGAATTGAACTGAATTGAATTGGTGATGAAAGGAATTAAATCCAGCTGGTGACTGCTGACAAGTAGCGTTCCCCAGCAGTCAGTACTGGGTCCTCTTCTGTTTAATATCTTTATTGATGACATGGATGAGGGGCTCAGTAAGTCTGCAGATGACACCAAGCTGAGAGAAAGTGTCAACCTGGGACTAGGAAGGCCCTTCAGAGGAATCTGGACAGGCTGGACTTCTAGGCTGAGGCCAATGGGATGAAGTCCAATGAGATCAAGTGCTGGGTCTTGGGCCACAACAACTCCACACAAGCAACATGACAGGCTTGGGACAGAGTAGTTGGAAGACTGTGTGTAGGGAAAGAACCTAGGGATGTTGGTTGATGCTCAGCTGAACACAAGCCAGAAGTGTGCCCAAGTGGTCAAGAAGGCCAGTAGCATCTCAGCTTGCATCAGAAATAGTGTAACCAGCAGAAACAGGGAGGTGATCGTCCCCCTGTACTGAGCACTGGTGACACCACATCTCAACAACTGCGTTCAGTTTTGGGCCTCTCACTATAAGAAAGACATTGAGATCCTAGAGTATGGTCAGATGAGGGCAATGAAGCCAGTGAAGAGTCTGGACCACAAGCCTCATGAGGAGCAGCTGAGAGAACTGGATTGTTTAGTCTTAGAAAAAGAGGTGCAGGGGAGACCTTATCATTCTCTATTACTCCCTGAAAGAAATTTGCAGCAAGGTGGAAGTGGGCCTCTTCTCCAAAATATCTAGCTTTTGGATAAGATGCCTCAAATTGCATCAAGGGAGGTTCAGGTTAGATAGTAGGAAAAACTTCTTCTGCAAAAGAGTGGTCAGGAACTGGAATGAGCTGCCCAATGAGATGAGATCCCTGAAAGAAATGTATAGGTATGGCACTGAGGGACATGGTTTAGTGGGGAAACACTGGTGGTAGATGGACAGTTGGACTGGATGATCCTGAAGGTCTTTTTCTACCTTGGTGATTCTATGATTCTATGAACTGGCTGCCCCTTTTGGATCCTGCACAATTCTGATGCATGGGTTGGCAGCAAAAGTACCAAAAATATTTGTATGATCATATTTCTCTTTTTGAAGACCTCTGAGCAAAGATATCTAAGAAAATATTTTGGGTGTTTCCATAATAAAACACATGCCCAATCAAGAGAAAAGAAAGATATGTTCCTTTTAAAGCTTATACGTCAGATTGAATTTAAGATTATTTCCTTTCAAAAAATAGGATGCTGAATCAGTTTGTGTTTCATATGAAATTAAAAAATGAAGATACTGTTTAAAGTTGGCATTGAGTTTTCCGTAACATGCATATAACAAAATACAATTTCTCTTATCACTTAGAAATCACCTCCAAGTTTAAACTAAAGTACGAGAGTTGAGAGTTGACACGAGATGATCTGTTGCAAGAGTACAAAGAAAAAATGGTACATTTTAAGGATGTACTATTTATCTTAAAGTGTAAGAAATTAGGAGAAATAATAGTACCACGATTTAAATAAGTCTTAGATCTTTACCTTTGTTGCAGCGTCGAAACAGACAAAGCCTGTGCTAAAGTCAATGGTAAGCCCCATGAGATGGCTTTCCAAAACGCAGGCATATGTCTTGCACTGTAAATGAAAAATCAGAGAAGGTAGTTACCACAGAACACATAGAAAACATTTCTTCAGCTTCTTTCTAGGACCAGAATTTCTTTGTTTTATTGTACATGTATCTCAAAATTAGCATCTGGGAAAACAAAAGAAAAATGAAAAGTAATTTGTGTGTAAATTGGCCGATTTACTGCTGAGTAACAGTAAGTCATATGCTATTATGTGAACCACCAAAGGTGTGAAAGCTTTAAATGTCCCTCGGGAAATTGAAGATTTCTTACTGTTAAAGTGGAGGTGGAAAAGTGAATGGTTTATTTTCTTACAACACTGAAAAAATTCCATGTATTCTACTAGATGTATACAATCTGAATTCAGATAGTACAGGAATGCACTTTGTCATTATAATTATAAATGCATGAAAAAAAATGACAATTTTTAATCACAAAATTCATGATTTAACTCTGTTTTGTCACAGTCATATGGTATTTGTATTTATAATAGCAAATAAAATTGTGGGGTTTATTTGCTTTGGGTTGTTGGTTTTTTATTTGAGCAGCCATAGCATAAAACTGCTATGAAAATGTAAAATTTGAATCTAAATCATTGTTTTTAGAAAAGGAGATGATATTGCCTTTGGCAATACCTCATTAGTAGAAGAAAAAAGCGTTCATCAGTAGAAAGTAATGTATTTCAGAGTGATTTACTACTTAATACATTCTCAAATGCAAAATGGTCAAGTTTTGCATGCAAAGCAAAATAATTTTGCAGAATTATTTTGCTAACTTCTTACAGTATATGTAAAACAACTACATTTTTATTTGCAGACCTCCAAGTTATCTAGAACAGACACACAGCCTTTACTTAGAATAGAAATTTGGCAAGGAGACAGTATCTCAGATTCAAAATATGTATCGCTGTGTAATTCATCTGACCTCCCCTTCAGCAGCAGCAGTCTACAATGCACACTGAGCTGGCACAGTTACTTCTAGAACAACATTGCTTAAACGTAGCTCTGTGCCTGAGCTAATAAGCTTCTCTGAGAAGATAAGATTCATGAGAAGCAGGACATCTCAGCCTATGCTCATTGTTGCACTGAAAAAGCTACCCAATTCCCAGGCTCTTTCTGCAAGGCAATACACAGCTTGTGGAGAAAGGCCTAATTCAGCACAACATGGGCATCAGTGGTAAGCAAGTGCATCATAATATGCAGGCCACCAGTGGAGTGGCTGATTGTATGAAGTAATTCTTAGGAAACTTGATAATTAAAAAGTTTGTACACATTTATCACGTATTTTAGTCTTTAAGAGCGATTGATAAAAAATATTGAGGAAGTTTGGCTTTGATAATTATTTTTTCACATACAGGTCATAAAAAAACTTATCAAAACAGAAGCATTCCCCTCTCAAAAGATAGAAGAAAATAATCCAGCATTCATTTCTTGTTCTTCCACAAAATACAGAATCTTAAATTGAGTTTCTGAATAATTCAGCGGATCAGGGGCTGAAGGAGACAACTCAGAGCATTATTTTCCTTAGAGTCTATTTCCTCAGTAACAACCAGTCTAACTTATGGAAAGAATGATAAATCGTAAGCCTACTATAAGCTATATCTGAAGCAAAGGGAAACCAGACTGTAAGTCCAAGATACAACTCAGACTCAAACTCAGATTCAGTTTCAGAGGAGACAAAGTTCTAAAGCAAGGCACTACAAAGCAGCTTACATAATAATCTTTACATTAGGTCACAAGCAAATACAATACAAATAAGAACAGCAAGAGAAAAAAAAAGATGATGGAAATGGAGAAAAAAATAGCATAAATAGTAGGAACTTTATATGAACTTGGCAATCATATAGTTGCACTTCATTATATATTTCAGTTTCATGATTCTTCACAAAGCTGTGAGATAGTGTGGAAAAAGGATCTCCATTTTAACTTCTTTCTTAATTGTTTTAATAGTTAATTATAAAAGATCATCAGTTACTTTTGCTACTCTAAGTAAAACTAAAGAGGGACCATAACATATTATGATAACACACGCAACAGTATCATATCACTTAATATGGCCAAATTATTATCAGCTTGATTCTTTCTGAAAAACAAACAAACAAAAAAACAACAACAAAAAAACCAAAATGCATCTGTCTGCCTAACTTTTGTTTTAGACAGACATCTGGCAAAAGTTATCAATTAGGCTTAAATGGAACTTACAAATATTTGTAGTGAGGCATTTTTTAAATATTTGCATTTGTTATATATTCTTTAGATATATATAAAATTTCTGTCTCATTTAAACTCAGTAGAGGTTGATGCTAACTTATATTACTTGAGAAACACTGTTATTATTTGCATGATTATAGCACAATATGCAAAACATCTGAATAATTTTAAACGGTTGTTTTAAACAGTGGTTACATTCTCAAAATTACATGATTTCATAATATGACAAACCTGCATACAGCTGGACTATCATTCACGTGAAATATTAATATTTATATGAATATAACTGCATAAAAAAGAACTTTAGGAAACATTTACAGCCTTGGTTTTGAACCTGCTCCTTTTTTTCCTCTCAGGGCAATGAAAGAATGTTTTAGAGACAAATTATATCACTGTCTATTCCAACCAGGCTTCATATTCATCTGGAAATTGATGGATAAATCAATTCAGCAACAGATTGCTGAAAGAAAATAGGGGAACCAAGGCCAGTTATATTATAAAAAAAAATGAACATTTTGTTTTGTTTCATTTCCAAACTGGGATACAGAAAGAGAAGCAAGAAAGAGAAGTAAAATTATAAGTGCATGTTCCACAGTAATAATCTATCACAAGATGGTTGTTTGTCCACTTTTTCAAATGCACTGTAATCATTTAGACTCAGGAAATAAATACCTTGACCTGTTCACTGCTACTTTGAACATCAACAGTGCAAAAAAGTTAAAAATCTGAGGATAAGGTTTTTAGAGAATCTCTTTTTGGGAGACAGGAGTAATTTTGAATAACTGAAATTCTCATACTAGAGAGAAAAAAACTGAGCTAGAAATGCTACAGAATGATTCAGTATCAGAGACAAACAAATATGAAGTGAACTCAGGGTTAAAGGTTATTTTATAAAATTGCCATATTTTCTTTTATGGATGGTGCAGTAGGCTTTCTGGGAACATTACACTTGTTATACAGGAAAGACAAAGCATCTTAAATATTTAGTAGCAGAGGTATATGCTGTTGAAAATTTTATTTAGAAAAACTACATTAGTATTCTTTAACACAAATAACCAGAGCTCAAAAGGTAAGAGTAGCTCCTGTAAATGGTAACAGAGCACATCAAAGATACAAATGGAACCTTCTCAAACTCCTCCTCCAACAAAGGTAATAAGCATTAAAACTGAGAGTAGTGCATCATTTACAAAATGGATCACCATTAGTGTATTAGCTACTGCTCAGTCCATCTGCAATATTGGTTTATAGGTCAGAAGAAGGCCATATATATATATGCGTATATATACATATATATGTAGCTAACAATTTGTCTAAATAAATTTAACTTATAAAACCAAAGAACCATCAGAGCTTGTGTTAACATGAGGATGCAGAAAATGATGGCATGGAAAGTGAGTATTAGCCAATATTTTTACAGGGTAATACACTAATGATTTTGTAAGAGTACAGAATTCATGGCAATTTCAATTAAAACTGTTCCATCCACATTATTTTTAATGCTTGGGACATTAAAACATCCATTAAGGATGATAACTTTTTAATCATAATTTTTATGGTTTTTTTCTCCCATTTTTTTTTCCTCATATCTTTCTCCAATAATAATGATTTGAGAGTTCCATAAGGACAGAGAATATCTTCATTTAAGTCTTTATTTTGTCATAATCTGTTAATGTACCAGAAGGCAATCAACAAGGCAGTTGTTCTCACCTGTATCCGTTCAACTTCTAAAAAAGTTGCTGTCTGGAATGCTTTTTCCCATAGTGCTAGGTCAGACTCTAATTCCACGGAAAAGTAAAGATCTTCTCCAGATTCAGATTGGACACCAAAACAATGTTTCCGCCGGTCCAGTAGATCACTGTCCTGATGAAAACCTGAAGTTATATAATCTGGCATACATCAATAAATATTTTTTTCTGTTGCAAATATGCCCCAAATCTAGCCTAAACATGGACATATCAAATAATTTTAAACAGGATTCTGATATTCAGGAAGGTACAGAACAACATAGTATATCTGGCATAAATTTCACTATTTTTAACAAATAGTGAAAAATGTTATCAGCTAAATGTCTTTAAATTGAGTAAATAATACAAAAGGCAACCACTTTCTATTTATGTGAGAACAAAAAGCTAAGTTTCTCTGATCTGTGTGACTCTCCCATTCTAGTTTGAAGGGCTGGCCAAAGGAAGCAACAGATTTATTTAAGTATCTAAAAAGCCCATCTGTTCTTCTTTGCCTATGGAAGCTAGATAAAATAAGCCCATATTTCTGATGGCTTAAATATCCACCGTAAAATCTGTATACAGCTGTATATTACCAGCAGAGACTACGTTGGTGACCAGTGATTAGTTTGCTGGCTTTGGACCTGGAGAAGGAAGATACTTTTGGCTTTACTTTCAATGCAACAACATACAGGGAATGTCTGATTGCAGAAATATATAACATTTAATGATTGCTAGCAAATCAAGAATAATCAAGTTAATCAGGAAATCTATCACTTAAATGTTTTTCAAAGATTTTTTTTTTCTTTCTGAAAGAGTAGAGGATACTTTATATGCTAAAATACTAGCATGTAATTTGTCCTTTTGAAAAATGTCCTTGCAGAAAATGTTTTAATTAATATTGTTCCTACTACAGCAAAGCAGCTGTCAGAAAGCACAGGCTCACCAGCTGTCCTTGAAAACAGTTCAGAAAATTTGGGTACATGTAGCTTAGGTGAAATTTCTACATGTTATCTTGTTGCAGAGGTCATAACTGAGATCAACAGAATACTCCCAGGACAGTATCGCCATCTGGTTATCACAACCTGAACAGACCAAAGAGGGACCATAACTAGTAATACAAGCCTTATATTGTTCAAGCCAACCTGGGGCAGGCTACCAGGATCCTCAAGGTGGCAGAAAATGGAAATGTACAAAACCGGAATCTCTATGATAAACTATTAATCTTGAGAAGGGATGAAGGCAGTAGTGGAATGAGCACTGCTTTCCTCCTTTTCTTTCAAGTGATAGACTTACTCAGAAAGTTTAGGACAGAATCCATTCCTGGATGCTCATGACTTGAAATACTTTTAGCGTCTAGAAGAAAACAGCTGTGAAGGCAATACAGCCTCTCTTTTCAATCACTTTGACAAAATTGAATTGTTCAGAATTTAAAATGATCAACTGTTGTGAAGCAATGAACTCCTTTGTTACGTACCTTCCAACAGTTCCTAAGCTTAGCACCTCAACAGCATTAAGTAATGGACAGAAGGATAGAAAAACCAGAATGAACATAGGCTTTTTGATTTTAAAAACAGCATACTCAAAAATAAATACAGACTATTCACTTGTGCTCAGATGAACTAGATGAACTAGTTAGATGTAGCTAAATAAGTCTGTCTCCTACGGAAAATACTTCTCTGTCAATTCTGATTACAGTAGGATTTGGCCAGCATTCAAAATGCTGGTCATAATGTCTGGGTTGCTATCAATGACAACTCTGTTGTACTGCATGCTCAGCCTTGAAGTACACAGAACAGTATCACTATGACGAATGTTTAATCTTGTGAATATGTGCATCAACATAAAACATACCATCCAGAACCTGGCAATATAAACTCTATCAACAGGAACTGGCTGAATAAAGGTGATGGCCAATCCAGCTTCCTTCTTCTAAGGAAGAACAGCTACTTCATACAGTGTAGCAGCACTTCTCAGCTAATAGGTCTTTAGTGGAGTCTTAAATTCATCAGGGTCCCAGAACTACAACTGACTGATACACCTGTTGGTCCATAATCAAATAGACCTATTCAGGATGTAGTTTAACAAATGTAATGTGTAAGGCACATGTTGTTTCCAGGGAATAATTTAATTCTTCATACTTGCAATTTCAGACAAAACTAGAAATATTTTGAATTCATCTCCACTTATTCTTGACAAGAGGCAATAGAGAAAAAATATGAATAATAATACAATTGTTCATTTTTTGAAACAATACTACAGCATTATGTGGAATTACAAGATTTGCAGTCACTGCAAGCAACTGAAGCAACAGACCCTGATTTTAAATGGGAGGAATTACAGTGCCTAGTTCCAGAATGCATATCTCTATGTCTCTGCTTTGCTGAGCACGGTTAAAGTTTGACTGTATTAAATTATACTGTTAGATTTCCAGATTTTTACTGTTTTTTGTTTGTTTGTTTGTTTGTGTTTGTGTTTTTTTTCTTCCTACGAAGAACATGCTGGCTGCGTAAAAGGGTTGTGCTCTTTTATAAACTGTGAAAATGAAAGTGTTAAAAGTTGTATTGAGACTATCTCTGTTAAAATGTGTTTGAAAGTGCAAGAATCTTGGAACAGTCTTTTGAAGTGATTAAATAAAAGCCTGTGCATTTTATTACCAATATTTTTAGTAATAATTGTAGTAGATCCTGCTGAGTATTTCATTAATCTTAGTGACTGGAGGGAGAAAGGAGATAAAATGGATCTGGAATATTAACCCATGTTTTTGCTATTTACACATTAAGATGACAACATATTGTAGAGAAGATCTAATCAATACAAGGTAGCACTTCTCAGTGGTTTACAAAAAAAAAATTAAAGTATTTCAACCACTACAGACTGTGACAAATTACACGCATGATGTACATATAACAAAACAGAGAAAAGCAAAGCTATTAAAAAATAAAGAAAAATATAATAAAAAAGAGAATTTCTTCATACCAGAAAATAACATAGAAAAGTAATAATAAATATTATGGGAATTTATCTTTTCTTATTTGGATTGAAAAACAAACAAAAAAAATTTTGACAATTTATCAAAACAAAATACATATTTTTTAATTAGTTCTTACAATCAGTATGTACTTGTGATTTTGATATCCACACCATGGACATGGTAATGATATGGTAAAAATGGTAATAGTAAAACCAAAATCCAGTCAAATATATTTGAATGGTATATTTTCACTTACAATGACATGTCTCCACACATACGAGATAGTAGCTTCCTCTTTAGTAGTATTTTCTCCTACCTGTAAAAAGAATTTGATGTCCCTGCAAGGCTCTCTTTATTACTTCTGCTCCTTTTTGCTACAAGACTTTTCTTTAGGTTTTTATTTGTGCTCAGGCATGTAAAAAGTGAAGCCTACATACCAATTCAAAGGTTTAACCCTGTTTTCACTTATATTATTGATAATTGTAGGAAACAATAAGTACACAAACTTAAAAGACAGCTATTCAAAAATCCTAGAAAAAGTTGGAATTCAAAGTGAAATTTTGTCTCAGGAATCCAACTGAAAATTACCCAAAACTCCCTGGAAGTTTATGATGAATCTGTCAGGAATCTTAAAAATAGGCTTGGATTAAGAAGAAATCATTACTAATTGACTTTTACAGAAGACTTACTTCAGTTAAAATATAAAATAATGTTCTACTCTGTTTAAATGTGGTTACAACTTTGTATTTTGACCCTGCATTTTTATTATTACTCACAAGTCAATTATAGTCAATATCTAATTTCATCTTATTTTTGAGCCATCTTTCATACTGGTAATGATCAGCTGTACCATTTACCCCTTATGTTCTCAATGTGAATTAATACAGACTTTCTGAAGATGAACAGTCAGAAAGCTTGTAGCAGTATGCTAATTTCCTACTGGAAGGAAAGTAGCCCTGCTGAAAGATGAGTGGTGAGAAAAGTCTTTGGCTTATACCCAGCTTCAGGGTAATCCAGCATCTCTGCTGACAGGATGGTATGACTCCTGCTTGTCTAATTAATAATGATGTCCATGTTAAGTGAGAGTAATAAATTTGTCTAAGGGAACTAAGCATGGCTCATTAGGCAGGTCCTTTCAAATTAAGGCAGAATGCCTCTTTATCACTAAGCAGTGACATCACTTTCTCTACAGCAAGAGAATTTTTTCTCTTTGAAATACTGGTCTCTCCAGAAATAGCTGCTCCTTTTTGATTACATGTATTTTTTCATTTTATGTGTGACGGATCCAATGAATACTCATATTTGGGCTATTTGTTAGATCCACTAAGGTGTTAGAGACCCTGAACTCTGACTGCAATGAAGACCAATTGTTCTATTCTACAATGGTTTGTGAAGGATTAAACAAAACTATGTCCATATGTTCCATGTATGACATCTACCCAGAAGGACTTATTTGAGAACAGTCTTAAATACTGGTTCTCCAGTCAAATATAGGTTTTATATACATACATATATATATATATATATATATATATATATAACGTACAAAGTAATTAGGAGGTGGAACTGTATATACCAGTGACACTGGTGAGCAGTTTTTGACCTGAGCAATAAACTATGTAAGATGTTCAAAACCATTCAAATATGAGTTATATGCACAGACAAAACAGACCTTGATATATTTTATTTTCTCTTTTAAAGTGGGGTAAAACAATGTTTGTGATACTGATTATAATTCTTAATAACACAGAGCTGAAAAAAAACACAACAAAACCTGCTTCTTTTTTGGACTACTTTACACAGTCCTGAAATAAAAAGAAATCTATCTTACAAAACTCTCTCCCATCAATTCAAGAGTGCAGTAACATTAAGATGACTGTAAAAAATGATCACATCATGCCTTTACACCTGCTGGCACTAGCATCAGAGCACTGATTATTTTACACTTATTATTTCCATCTACATAAACAAAACTCCTTTCTAAGGGATTCTAATGATCTATTTTTTTTTATCTGAAACTTTGGGAACACTCTTTTCAGGCATCACCATTAGTTGCTATGGTGATAGTTCTAATAGCATTTACAGGCAGCAGGAAACTGATTCACTCTAAAGTGAAAAAAAAAGAGATACTTTTCCAAAAAATACTCATTAATCAAATAATAAAG